ATAATAATATATGAGAGGATAATAAATTTAATCCAATTACTTTTATAAAATCTATAAAATATTAAAAATGATATTATATTTTTAAAAACAAATATTAGAAAAAGGTTTAAAAACATGTATAAATTATATTTATATGTCCAAAATAATAAAGATATACACATTCAAAACAATATTAAAAAATATTAATAATAAATTTAATTCTTTAAATTTAGTATTTAGAAACTAAAATTATAGTTTCTCTGTTTTTAAAAAATTAAAATAACTATTTAAAAATAAAAATCAAAACTAGTATTATCTTAAATTTATTAAAAGTGTAATTAAATCTCTATTTTCTTAATTTTATTTGTTTCAAACATCTCAATTCTACATTTTTGTAAGTTCTATCATTATATTATCATCCTCATCTCCTCCCATGTTCTACTTTATCTTTACAATAGTCAATATTCTTAACTAATTTATATTTTTATTTATAATTTTTTAGTATATATTTCAGAAATTAATCAATTCTAATCTATTCTTTGAAAAACTAATCAATTCTAATCAATAATTTATAAAACTAATCGATTATAATTAATTATTTGAAAAAATTATCAAATATGATCGATCATTTCAAAAATCTGATCGATCAGAGAAAAAAATCGCTCGAGCGAGGCTAGAGTCGCTCAAGCGAAATACAACCCGAGAATGTCAATTTTGTGCAGGGGCGTTTCGCTCGAGCGATTTTATTTTCAGCTTGAGCGAAAAATACTTCTAATAGCGGTTAACGCTTAACAGCTATGTAAAATATGATTAAGATAGCGGTTAACCCATAGCAGCTATCTAAAATACATTTTAGATAGCGGTTAACCCCTAACAGCTATTATATCCTCTCAATTATGATCGATTATTTCAAGGTATGATCGATCAGAATCTTATTTACGTTCGGCGAAATCTGTCGCTCAAGCGAAATACAACCCGAGAATTCACAATCTTAAAATATTTTTTGAATATTATGTTTTTAAATTTGCTATTAGAGAAAACCTTTCAGAATTCAAAATGTTAAATAGTTTTAAATATTAAAATTAACTTTATCAAAAATTAGGAAAAAAAATTTATCCAAAAGAGTTCAAAAATGTATAAGAGTATTCTCAATTTTGAGTTTAATTATATTGTTCATTCTCAAAGTAGAAAATTATATTGTAATTATTTTAAATTACATTTTGTGATCTTCTTAAAATTAGCATCAATAACATTAGACTTTACATTTGATTCATACCTAACTAATTATAGATTAAAAGGAAAGTGGTATAACCATGCATTTTACTTTTCTATTTACCTTATTCTTTTAATTATTTTATATAATATTTACCTTATTCTTTTAATTATTTTATATAATAATAATCAAAATATTCACATTCATATGGGTGTTTTCGAAAATAATATTATTGTATTATTCTTAAAATTAGCATCAATAACATTAGACTTGATCTTCTTAATTATATTGTTCATTCTCAAAGTAGAAAATTATATTGTAATTATTTTAATTTAATAAAATATAATTTAAATTTTTAATACTAAAATTAAAAGATTAAATAATAATGACTTTAATTCTTTAAATTGAGTATTTAGAAACTAAAATTATAGTTTCTCTGTTTTAAATAATTAAAATAAAAATCAATATCAAAACTAGTATTATCTTCATTTTTTTTGTTTCAAACTTCTCAATTCTACATTTTTGTAACTTCTATCATTATATATTATCATCCTCATCTCATCCCATGTTCTAGTTTATCTTTACAATAGTTAATATTCTTAAATAATCTATATTTTTAATTTTAAATTTCATAAATTAATACATTCTAATCTATTATTTGAAAAACTAATCAATTATAGAATTAATTTAGAAAACTAATCGATTATAATTAATTATTTGAAAAAATTATCAAATATGATCGATCATTTAGAAAATATAATCGATCAGAATCGGATTTCGCTCGAGCGAGACTAGAGTCGCTCAAGCGAAATACAACCCGAGAATGCCAATTTTGTGCATGGGCTCTTCGCTCGAGCGATGTCATTTTCGCTTGAGCGAAGAACACTTCTAATAGCGGTTCACGCTTAACCGCTATCTAAAATATAATTTAGATAGCGGTTAACCCATAACCGCTATCTTAAATACATTTTAGATAGCGGTTAATTCCTAACCGCTATTATATCCTCTAAATTATGATCGATCACTTCAAGTTATGATCGATCAGAATCGTATTTCGCTCGAGCGAGAGTAGTGTCGCTTAAGCGAAATACAACCCGAGAATGCCAATTTTGTGCAGTGGGCGTTTCGCTTGAGCGAGACCAGCGTCGCTTGAGCGAGACCAGCGTCGCTCAAGCGAAATGACAATATTTTAATCGATACAACTTGATTTTAATCGATTAAAATCACTTAAGGGTTCAGGATGATCGATCATAATGCAATTATGACCGATCAGAAGCAGTTTTAATCGATTAAATCTTGTTTCAATCGATTAAAACAACTTAAAAATTTCTACACGAGTTTTAATCGATTAAAACTTATTTTTATCGATTAAAATAACTTGAAAAGTTTTACAAGAAAGTTTTGCGATATTTCAATCGATTGAATCGTGAAACAATCGATTAAATCAACTTAGAGGATTTTTTGTAAAGTGTTTTAATTGATATAAACGTTGTCAGTATCAGTTAAAACAAATCTGTTAAAGAATCAAGAACGTATTAATGGATTAAAAGAAGTTTTAACATATTAAAGCTGCACTTTTAACAGATTAAAAGAATCTTTTAACAGATTAATTAAACCAGCGAGTTTTGAAAATCTTCTATTAAAACAGTTTGGCTTGAACTTTTTTAACATACATTGAATATCATCTTTTACACATCCTTGAGCAATCAATCAAGCAAACTTCAGCACTCTTTTCAAGAAAGATTCGCATCGAGTTTTGAGAAGTTCTTTGAAAATCTTTCTTGAGGCAACTTGATTTCTTTTGAAGAAGAAACACTTACAGTGAAATTGCATAAAGCTGGTTTGAGCATTCTAGTTTCTTCTTTTTCATTTCTTTACATTCTTTTTGTATTGTTTGGTGTCTGGAATTTGGGCACTTGGTTTCTCTCATATTGGAATTTGGTAATACAGAAAACATTTCAGAAAGCAAAATGTTAAATACTTTTAAATATTAAAATTGACTTTATAAAAAATTAGGAAAAAAAAATTAATCAAAAAGAGTTCAAAAATGTATTATAATATTTTCAGTTTTAGTTTAATTATATTTTTCATTCTCAAGGTATTAAAATATAATTTAAATTTTTAATACTAAAATTAAAAGATTAAATAATAATAAATTTAACTCTTTAAATTTAGTATTTAGAAACTAAAATTATAGTTTCTCTGTTTTAAAAAATTAAAATAAATATTTAAAAATAAAAATCAAAACTATTATTATGTTAAATTTATTAAAAGTATAATTAAATCTCTATTTTCTTCAATTTTTTAATATAAATTTTTAAAATATAAATTAATTTCAATTGAAATTTTCAATTGAAAAATAAATTCAAGAATATTTGTTATTAAACTTTTCTTAAACAATGTATTGAATAGTTAACATCACTCTAGTCTTAATTTATTACAATTTAAATTTTTAATAAATTTGATTTATTACAATTCATTTTGTTAATATTGAGACCAAAGTTTATTTTTAAAGTATATTTTAAAAATTAAATTATTTTTAAAAACTAAATTACTTTTAAAAAATAAATTGTAAAAAATATACTAAAAAATTAAAGTATATTTATAAAAAAAAATTTAAATATAATAAAAAAATAATATTCATTAGCGACCGATTTCAATTCGGTCGCTATTTTCTCATTAGCGACCGATTATAATTCGGTCACTTTCAATTTGTAATTCGATCGCTAAATCGAGTCGCTAAATGATTTTTTTATTTTAGTGTGGAATAGCCACAGATTTAGCGACTGAAATTTTGCGACGCAAATTATTGGTCGCTATTTCGGTCGCTAAATAACAAAATGAAAACCAATTCATATTTTGGTCGTTAAATCGGTCAGCTAATTGCGACTTGAATTAAAGTGGTCGCTGAATCGGTCAGCTAATTGCGACCGAATTAAAGTGATCGCTAAATCGGTTGCTATTTGCGACCAAAATTAAATCGATTAGCTATTTGCGATCGAAAAATTCGATCGCTAATTTCGGTGGCTAAATGTCATTTTTCTTGTAGTGTATATTCACTTCTATATTATAATATTATTATATGTTTATAGTGTACGAGCATTTTCATAATACAGTGACAAAGATACCTAAGACAAAATTAGTAATTATTAATGAAAAGTGTAATAAAATAAACAATATTATATAGTTTTTTCTTGTAATTTTATGTTCATGCCATGCTAATACCCACATGCAACTACATATAAGAATTTTAAACATTAAATTATGCATAATTTGAGGCTTCCCATAAACTTTTATTTCTTTTTAACATATATGCTTCTAGTCTTATTTTAATAACATAATCAGATAAAAAGAAAAAAAAAACATTTTTTTATTAAAGTCGTATGTTTTCTTTATGTATATGTAAACTAGATACAATTTTATTTGTAAAATAATGTTAACGAAGATAAATTTTTTTCATTAAATAAATAATCTTATGTGCAGACTATATTCCCACTACATTAATAATTGAATATAAAATTAAAAATATTTATCTCACAAAATGAAAAGATAACAAAAAACACAAAGAGAAATTATTATAATTTACAAACTGGTAATATACTTTGTAAGTCCACCTTCAAGAATGAGGGGGAGAAAAACCCTGCTATTTCCATTAACACATAAATTAATTGAAAATTCTGATGGGGTAACAAAATGTAACAATGTAAATTAAACACAGTGCTATACATGACTAGAGATATTTTACAATCTCAACAAAAACAGTCATGGCCATCGAATAAAAGCTAACCATGCACCATGGGACACATCATCAATTAATGTTGTCTGGGTGCAATCTCTTTCTGCCACTTAGAGCACTCAGAGGGACCCCAAAGAGCTTCACAGAACTGTTTGATTCTTCAGTACAAGTAATCAAAGAATTATCCACAATATAACTTTTTGAAGTTCTGAGACCTGTGTCATTTGGAGACTCATGCCACGAGTCCAACTCCACCAGCTTTGGAATGGCACTGCTGGTTCTTTGCTCAAAGGGTGGTCGTTTTATATGGTTTTGGATGAAATATATGATGTCATTGTACAAACTCTTCATGTGACTAAGTTCTGAGAGGAGCATGAAGTTCTTTCTCCTGAGTCTTTGGTTGTCTTCAGAAAGTGCTGTTATAATGTCTGAGCTTGGTTTTGGAGATGGAAGTGGAGTGTCAAGCCAGCAGATACTTTCATCTTGTTGAAGAATCTGGGATGGTGGTTGGTCATGGTAGAGTTGGTGATGTTGCTGAGGTGTTTTCCTCCTGTGTATTTCACATAAAAGGTGCTTAGCTCCTTTTCTGAAGTGCTCATTAGCAAACTCCCACCTATCAGCAACTACCTTCTTGAAACCCTGCAGGAGAAGAAGAAAGATTCAACCCTGCTATACTATCCAATATTCATAGCTAACCATGAAGCTAAGCTAAAGTAGCAATATTATGGAAAACATTATAATGCAATCAAATTAGCTAGCTGATCATAGAGTGTATTAGGGTGAGTGTTTATAAAGATTTTAAATTATCATTTTATAAAAAAAAATTTAAAAATGATTTACAGGAAGTGATTTATATTTTTCGTTGAAGCATTTTTGTAGTGAAACTTGATGTGAAATTCTCAAGCTATGATAAAAGTTGCATCACTGTTCCTTCTACCAGAATCAAGGTTTGACCAACATTTTCATGTTTGAAAAATGTTTCTTATGTTTTCCAGTTTGGAGGTTGTAAAAGTGTCTTAAAAAAAAGTGATATTAGATCTCTAGTTATACTAGAGAACTTAGAGTTCCATCATATTTAACTTATAAGTATTTGGTCAATTTGTTCACATGGAAAGATCTTTACCTTCAATGAAGTAACAAAAGATAAGGATGCTTACATAGGTGTTGAGTTGCCTAACAAAGCTTGAGAAGTTGTTGTGTTTGAAGTAGTTGGGAAGAAGATCTGTGGAAAACTCAGGGGGTCTCCACACAACAAATGTAGTTTCATCTTCACCCCATGAAACAATGTGGTCAGTGAGAGGGTCATCAACAAGCTGGTAGGTCTTTGTGAGGAAGGGTGCTGGCACTGACTTCTGAGACTCAAAAGAGAAAACCATGTTCTCCTCAAACCTAGTGTCTAGTGTGAAAGCCATTGTACTCAAACAAGAGTTCGTGCAAGTCCAACTTACATTCCTCTTCTTTCACTAATACACCCGCAACTTGATTTAAAGCCACCCTCTCTCACCTTTTCTCTCTCGTATTATAAATTTATAATCATGAACTTTATGAAACAAAAACACATGATCATGTCAAATGGAGAGGAAAGAAAAATATATATTAGTCTCACTTCACTTTTTCCACAGTAAAATGTAAAATTAGCCTCAGAGAAGAGGCTTTCTTTTGTGGAATAAAAATTGATATATAAAGCACCAACGAGTTTTATTTCACGAAATAAAATCCACTACACAATCACACGATATCCTTAAGAGGATCAAAATAATACAAAAAGAAAAAAAAAATTCAATAAATAAAGTGTTGAAGATTCACATATTGGGTATATGGATCATATTTTGAATAGCCTTCGTGGAACTCTTTTTTAGTTAATGTAAATCTAATCATTCCCACATACATTTCTAACACAAAAAATAAAATATGAACATAAATAAGGAATACAAAAGCTTTTTTCTTCTTTCACACTCCAAAACTTTTGAACAACTAATATTTTCTCTTTGTGAAAAAATGTTGAAACTAGGAGTACGTGTTTGTTGGGATGTAAATTAAAAGTGTTTTGAGAACTTCTTAATTAAAACTTAAAAAATATCAATAAAAATTTTCAAAATATTTATAACATTAGAACATTGGCATTGTTTTACTATATTTTTCTTAGAATAATAATTGTTTTACTATGTTTTTCTTTGCATCATAACATTTACAGAATTTTTTTTCTCAATCTAAATATTTTTGTACATAGATAACATTTTTCTTTTTCTTCTAAGCATATAAAAGACTACTACTCTTTGGATGCTCTCATCTTTCTCCTATATTACTAATTTTAAGATGCATATGACCATGCCAGTGTGAAAACAGTTAATTTTCTAGAATGCCTATAATAAGATCCAACTAAAGGTATTAATTACTATTGATTGTTCTCTTGGCAGCAGTGTTGGTGGGTTGATGCCTCTTGAAAGAGGAGCTACCTTTTTTGTTTGTTTTTTCTTTCTTTTCTACAGAGCTCCAATGGATGTAATCACCATTTTGTCCCTACTCAATGCTTTTATATATGTTCTTGGCAAATTGGCTACATAAAGCAGCTTTCTATCATGACAACCCTAAAAAAGGGAGATTTATAATGCAAAAATAATTCAATTTGAGTTTAAAAAACTGTGACTGAAGCACTGAACAGTTAACACAATTAAGTATTTATTTATTTATTTATTTAAGCAGACATCTCTTACATTCTTAGACTAGTAATCAAATTGAAAGACAATGTTTCAGATTTGTTTTATCCTTCAAAAGGCATGCTTTTTAAAACATTTTTAGTTATATTTCTTCATATGGTACTGAAACTTGGAAGGCTGTGATTTCTCAAAAAAAAAAAAAAATGAGAAAGTTTAAACTTTTGTGCATGTGCTTTGGCCCACATTATATTATCAATGTCAGATATTGTTCAATTTGTTGGTCCCTCCTTTCTACCCTTTCTTTGCCTGGAAAATAGAACAAAGATAAAGTCCACATTTTCATATTTTCCAATCTCAAGATTACCCTTGATGTTTTTCGCATTGTTTGCTTCATATGGAATTTCAATCATATAGGGTAATTTTCATATTTCCATTTGAATTGAAGATAATACTATATTCATTATATATATATATATATATATATATATATATATATATATATATATATATATATAGTGAATGTGGGAAATGAAGAGTCAACAGAGCATTTTGTGCTTTAGAAAATCATACTAAAATAATCACCAAATACATAATTTAATCTTTTAATCATCAATATATAGCGTTATTATAGATGGATGTTAAATACCAATAGAGTGATTTTGAACTGGGTGTTCTAAATATTGAATTCAATTTTCTTTACTACAAGAAAAATTAATTTATTTATATTTTTATTATTTATTAAATTATTTACAAATAATTGAAGATTGATACTTCAAACATTAGAATACTAAGTTTTTTTAATAATAATTTACAAATAAACTATATTTATATATAAAAAAATGTATATCCGTATAAATATATAAATACAAATATATTTATATTTATATATTTTGATATATTTATATATTTATATATTGAATATGAGGGCGCGTTCGACGGTGAAAATATGTGTTATTTAATTTAATGTTGATTTTTAAAAATATACTTTAAATTTGTTGATAAATGAACAAATAATTACCGATGGATATATCCATCGAGTAACTAATTGTTTATTTACCAAAATTATAATTTATCGACGGATATATCTGTCGATAATTATTTATTCATTTATTGACAGATTTACCTGATAGATATATTCATCGATAATTATTTGTTTATTTACCAATAGATTTACTAACGAATATATCCGTCAGTAATTAATTATTTATTTATCGAGAAATTTATCCGTCGGTAATTAATTATTCATTTACAAATGGATAATTTCACAATTACTCTAAATCATGTCGGTAATTACTTATTTTTCGACAGATACATATTTGCCGGTAAACATCCGTCGGTAATTTAAAATTTTTTCGTAGTTCTTAAACAAGTTTTCCAATTTTGAAGTTAAATTTAAGTAGGTGAAAAAGATGTTATTTAAAAGAAAACTTTATTAAAATAGTTAGATAAGATCTTCCACAATTCGAATTTTTAAGATACATAGGTGAAAAACCATTGTTGTAAAAAATATTTATAAAATATAGTTAGATAAGTTCTATGAAAATTAATTGTTACTAAAGTTACCCTATACTCTTACTAATTATATAACTATAAAGGAATACATGTATCTCACATTCTATTATTATTATTATTATTTTGGATAATCTAAACTGTGATTTAATTTTAAATATAAGATAAGTTTGTTTGAAAAAGTTTAACACCGCTCAAGAATTAATTATGTGGGTGTAATTTGTATATTCTTTTGAATCTCATAATTACATCTAACCCTCCTTTACTTTTTTGTTCAAATGCCTTTATTATGAGGGTTTTTGGGGTCATCGTGGGATTCTGATCGTGATCGAGGATCATTGGATCAACGTTTTAATCCTTCAAAAGTGTGGCTTATCACTTCAAAGTTTCCTTGTGAGCAAATAAAAAAGTGATATCACAAAGAAGAAATAAAAGTTCAATGGTTATAAAACCCTAATGCTCAAATGCTTAATTAATTAGTACATGGTTACAACTTACAAGGCTGGAACATTCTGACCTTTATTCATTTTTGTACAATCCAAAGCATGCCCGTGACCTTGAGATGATAAAATAATTCATCCCTTCTACTCTTCAATGATGGAATAGTGTACTAATATTATAAGTGAACCTTCCTCTCCTTTGGCTAGATAATATATATATATATATATGTGATGGAATAATAACTATCATATTTCATGACTTTGATAAGAGAAAATCACAATACATTTTTTAAGATTTTTCATAATACATTTTCATTTATTAGTTTATCATTAAATGAAGAATCTTGAATCTTGTGTAGGGTGGTTTCTTTTAGAAAAAGTAATATATTGATGTAATTCAAGAAAATATCATACAATGTTTAATGTACTCTTGTGATTAATTTCTACATCAATAAATTTAAGTTTTTATTTTGAAAAAAAAAAAAACTAATTGAATGTCGTTCAAATGCATAGTAATAAGTTCACATGAATTTAAAAATCAAAATTAAAAATAATTTAAAATTTAAGAAAATAATGCAATGTCAAAATAGAAAATATCTCAAATACCATATTTAAAAATTAATTTATAACATATGATTTAAAATGACTCAATAATTTTATCTAAGATAAATATAAATTTCAATTCTCAAAGTTGGCAACCTACATGTCCTAAAAAGTATAATTTTTTTCATGCACGACCTTCTATTGCTATGGATTCCATTGTTGGAGGGGTCACATTCATCACTCTTTTTATATGATCTCTTCTTTCATTCTCTCCACCTAGGGTACTTAACTTTAATCTTGAAAATTAACCCTAAAAGTGTCATGTTTATGATGATATACATACATCCAACAACATCTCTTCCTTTGTTGCACTATGTTTGGTGGTCAAGGTCTATAGGAAGCCTCTAAACACCATGCATGAATGAATAGGAAGGTCCAAATAAATATTCAATAATGAGAAGATTCTATTCCAAATTAATAAAAAACACATTTAGCCACTGAAATTGGCGACCGATTTAGCGACCGATTTAATTTTAGTTGTATTTAGAGACCGATTTAGCGACCACTTTAATTCGGTCGCAATTAGCGACCACTTTAATTCGGTCGCAATTAGCGACTGATTTAGCGACCAAAATATGATTTGATTTTCACTTTTTTATTTAGCGACTGAAATAGCGACCAATTTTTGTGCGTCGCAAATTTTCAGTCGCTAAATCAGTGGTTATTTCATACATAAATAAAAAAATCATTTAGCGACTGATTTAGCGACCGAATTACAAATTGAAATAGCGACCGAATTAAAATTGGTCGCTAATGAGAAAATAATCCATGATTATATCTGATTTTTGCAATATCGCTCAAGCGAAAATAACATCGCTCGAGCGAAGCCACCTGCACAAAATTGGCATTCTCGGGTTGTATTTCGCTTGAGCGACACTATTCTCGCTCGAGCGACATCCGATTCAAACATGAGGCACCCAGGTTACATTATCCAGCTAACTTTGATCGACGTTTACGCAGGTCAACATTCGCTCAAGCGAAAGTAACATCGCTCGAGTGACGCCACCTGCACAAAATTGGCATTCTCGGGTTGTATTTCGCTTGAGCGACACTATTCTCGCTCGAACGACATCCGATTCAAACATGAGGCACCCAGGTTACATTATCTGGCTAACTTTGATCGACGTTTACGCTGGTCAACATTCGCTCAAGCGAAAGTAACATCGCTCGAGCGACGCCACCTGCACAAAATTGGCATTCTCG